TAGATCCAGTCCACCTCAGTCCGATGGAGTTCCAGGCATGCCACGGCAATTCCCTCGCGGTTACTGGAAACGGCCAATCATTTCTACCAGGAGTCTCGGTTGAGTGCAAATGTTAGCACCGGCAAGTCGAGCCCAGAAAGCAACAAGTAAAGCCAGCATGAGGAGTGGTTTCTCATTCGCTGTTTTGTACATTGCAGCTACACGAAGCCCGGTCCTTCTTTGGTGGAAGAGTTTTTTCCTGTTGAGCGTCGCCGTCACTCTGCGGACCCTGTTCTGGCGAATGCGCGCAGATGACTGAACTTGCATGCAGCTCTGGGCTCAGCATCTCAGCAGAACGAATTCAACCGGAGCTGATGAACCGAAAAAAGTCGTGATTTGTGAGTGACATCGTATGTGTCTTCGGAACGTTTTCAGATGGGGTGTCAGACTGCACGCAGGCACGCACGAATGCACGAGCATGGACGAGCGTGCAAAAACGCACGATCAAGCAACGCATTCACACGCACGCACGCCGCACGCACACCCCCACCCACGCACTCACCCACCCGCCCGCCCGCCCGCCGGCCCACCCACCCACCCACTCACCACCCTCGCACGTAAACACGCATGCATGCATGCACGCACCCAAGCACCCGCGACGCTTGCCCTACCTGGTTCATGGTACAGCGTTCGCACTTGAGCTGTTTGGGGAGCCAGGAATGGAGCACGTCTTGGTTGCGATTCCGGATCATCGCCACAACACCAACAATGACACTATTGTCACTCCTCACTACAGTGTTCCCCGTGCTCCTCATGTTTCCGCGTGAGCCCCTCCTTGCCCCCACCCTCAGCCCCCTCCATTTTACCAGCAACGGAACTGACATCTTCCCGTTGCATTTTCAGGAGTGGCCCCCCCCCCACACACTATACATATTTTTCGCTCTTTTGGGGCACAGAATCCAAGTCGGATGCAGCCCATTGGCTTGCACCTAATTAAATCCCACCTGAAAGAGGCGGTGGGACCCTCAAGCGCCTCGCTTCGGCTAGCGAGAAAAGCGCCAAACGCCCCGGAGCAGAAATCTACTCGAAGGTAGTGTGCACTCGGGACTCAAAATCGCAGCAGGCATGATGCATACAGTGAAGCGGCAGGTAGTTCCTCACAGTCGGGTCCCGTGGAGGCCATCCGTACCGCAGGGACCCTCATGCAAGGCCACACTAAAGGCACAGTGACTGCGTATGCGCCCTTTGGGCCAAGCGAAAAGGAAACAACTATCCAACAAAAACACTAAGGCACTGAAGATATGCACAGGACATGCCGTAAGGCGTCAAGCCAACAGGCTGACAGATGAGATGCGCATGATCAGCATCTCATTGCGTATGGGCGGCAGCAACTTTGGATCTGCAACCCTGGGAACTCAAGTCAAATGCTACTGTGCAGTGCAGTAACAATACAAACTACTCAGGGGGCAATCAGCTCAGGAGTATTCCCCACTGGTACTCTTTGCCGCGTTCGGCGAAGGCTTTCTCGGCCTCCTTCACGGTTTCATGGACGTGAAGGGGGTACTTGTTGTCGAAGGCGCCGACGGCTTCGGAATGGTAGACCCTCTCTGAGGTAACCCAGCAAGCTCTGTAGGCTGCTTGGTAGTCGGCTGCCCGTCTAGGCTCCGGTTCATGAACGCATAGCCCAACGCCAAACTCCGCAGGCTGCTTGGTAGTCGGCTGCCCTCTAGGCTCCGGTTGATCCCATGGCCAAACGCCAAACTCCGCAGGCTGATTGGTAGTCGGCTGCCCTTCTAGGCTCCGGTTCCACGCATAGCCAAATGACAAACTCCCCAGGCTGCTTGGTCGTCGGCTGCCCTTTAGGCACCGATTGAACGGAGAGCCAAACGCCAAACTTCGCAGGCTGCGTGGTAGTCGGCTGCCCTCAAGGCTCCGGTTGAACGCATAGCCAAACGTCAAACTCAGCAGGCTGCTGGGTAGTCGGCTCCACATGGCGAACCCCACCCCGAAGGGTATAAGTGGAGTTCTGGGGTCCCAGGCAATACTATACATATATATATATATATACACATGACAAACCCACACACTGTGCTCAAGTGCCTGCCTGCACCTCTGTCGCACATCGAGCTCGATGCCTCCATCATGCCCCTAAGATCCCCTAACAACATATACTTGTAGGGTTTTAACGGAGGTGCGAAACAGGGTTCCAACAGCTCAGCCCGCGAAGCCGGCAGCCTAGTGCGTAATCAAGTGCCTGGTGCATGTACAGGATTTCCACCTCACTCCTTTCCTCAATGTGCATCGTTGGCATGTCCATTTCTTCCGGTCATGGACATCCGAGCATATCCGGAGCGTGCTGTTGGTGGATCAAGGATGTCGATGGAGACTGGCTTTGCCTCTGCTTTCGACGCACAGCGCTGCGAAAACTTGGCATCATTACTCGAGATGAGGAGGAGCTGGGGGGGGTGCCATGGAGGGCAGAGGCAGAGAGGCAGAGAGGCCTAGGCCTTAGGCACTCCCCTTAGCGGACTTTTAGCGGTCTGCATCAGCAGTTCTTGCTCGGCTGGCCTTCCCAATCCTATGTCTCGCAGGTTAGCCCCGCACGCAGTGACGCAGAAGCATTCTTGCCTTTGTTCAGAGAGGGCCATACCTGCCCTCTGTAGCGTCTCCTCGTGCAGGCCAAGCCCGTCGGAACGAAGGATGTCAGCACGAACTCCACGGCATTCGTTTGCAGCTTGGGCAAGCACGAGCATGGGAGCACTGCCTCCTAAATTGCATGTGTCAGTGTTTCAGCGGTTGCGATCAATAGCAACGAGGCTTCTAATAAGAGACTGGGAATAGACAGTGGATTTCTATTTGCTACTGTTTGCGGCTGTGGGCACGGAAGGACGTTGAAGTGTGCTCCACAGGAAGATGCGTAAGCAGCGAACACATCGGACCAGCAGACATACAAGTATACTTGAACCGGCTCGTAGTGGCGGCCGAGGTTTGTGCATCCGATAGATTGAAACAGACTTTCGAACCACCTAGATTGTTGCCTTCTCGGCTTAAATGTGCCTTACATCATCTTGTAGTTATGCGTTCTTGCTACCCTGCTGTTGCCAATAAGCGCTGCCGAGTTGTCTCTCATCCGCCTTTAAGCTCGAAGTATTCCGGAAAGCTGGGCTATTGCTGGGTTGAATACATGTAACGACAGGCCCAAACCTTGCAAGGAGTGTTTCCATGGGCAGGCCCGAAACTGGGCCGCTGTGGGCTTGTCATCTCTTGAGCCTTTTGCATTTGTTGCTCATCAAGTCCGAGCCTTTGCGACGTGCCTGCCCAGGGCCGCACGTTTACGGCGGAATACCTCCACAGGCTGAGCGGGCGAGAGGGAGAGAGAAAGAGAGAGAGAGAGAGAGAGCATTGTGTGACATGATGCGTACCGGACGCTGCACATGCTATACATATCGTTGAGGTGCAGTGGTTCACACAAGATAGGGGGTTGGCGTGTATGAGGTGGTGGAGGCAGAGTTCCCGATGCTTCGGGAAGGACGTGTGGCCTGCCTAGTCAATTGACGTTTGGCGCTCGCATGCTCTTACTCTCTTGCATCTGAGGTCTTTACGGCGATTCCAGGGTTGACTGACACACCGTCACGAGCATGAGACCTATGACGTGCTTCGCAGTGTGGGGCAACAGAACTTCGGAAGTGCATAACTGCAAAGGTCTTCAAGCTTGCAACCGGGAGTGAGGTACGACAGTGAGGAGCCCAGAACGAACGAAAGTCAGTGTGAGCGCTGCCGCTGTCTGCGCGCTACGGCTACAGTACAGGTTTGCCGAGAAGCAGCACATCCTGTCAGAGCTGGATGCCAAGGATAGGTGTGCACGCGCAACGTGCGCAACGTACAACACTGTCCACTGCCAGCACTGCGAAGTCTCCAGGATGGCTTTGTTCATCTAAGCGACGCCCGGGCGGTGCGGATCGTTGCTGCTCGCTTCTTCAGCGACTGCAAGGCCACTGGAAGCGCTGTCAGAAACTTTGTCTCGGCGTTTCCCGTGCCTTGGGCCTTGAGGACTTGATGCTGCTGGAAGTTGATCCCGTCGCCTGGCAGCTCATCGTAAGCACCCGTAAAGGGCCCGTAAGCAAAGCTTTGAAAGAGTGTTTTCAAGGTACAGTCTCTTTGGTCCTTGCCTTGTGGACAGGAGGGGCTGCAGAAGCCCCTGACATGGCTCCATGGAACCATGGGAGATGCAGAACCCGACCTGGATGCAAGGCCATGGAGCTATCCATGCTCATCGTGATATTGAAAAGAGGGGTCGTGTTGGTGTCTGGGGAGCCGAGGGGTATGTTCCTTGGGATGTCCTTGTTTTTTTTCACCGTCCCAAGTTTGCTTGCAGCAAGCTACAGTAAGCGACAGCACACGGCCCCTTCACATTCCCCCATCGACCCGTCGCTGAATCCAGGCAGGCTGCAGCCTCTGCCCTTCACTCGGACTGGGACCACTACCAAGGCACACACACCTTGTCCAGTGCGCTTCTTCTGAGGTTCTGCACTATTTGAGGCCGGATGGTTGTGTACATGTCTATGGGCACCTGGGCAGAAGAGAGCAAAGCCGTGTTCTGTGCGTTTTTCTCTTACAGCCTCCGCTGCGGTGAGCTCATGTGAGCTCTATGTTGTTTGAGGTCCGTGCCCTACACGGCCGTGACACGGAGCGAGGCAGTGGCACTTGCGCAGGCCATGACTTACGGGGGCATTTGCTGGCTATGTCGGCAGCGACTGCAGTGCCAGGATGGCCACATCTTTCCGGCCTGGCTTGGCGAGTCTTCCACTCGCGACCAGTGAATATCTGCAGCCACGGCGCGAGCACGACTGAGCCCCACCCTCCAACCTAAGCCTGTCACATTTGCCACTAAGGGTCGGAGACACCGCTTGCCTGCGATTTTCTCATATGTTTGCATACACTTGCATACCTTGGAGGAAATCCGCGGCTGTGGCTCAACAGGGATCTTACCGCATTTCAGCCTTTCTACGCACGGGTGAGCCATGGCGGACGGCGAGGCCCTCACCAGAGAAGTACCGTGAGAGGTTGAATCTCGCGTTCCCTGGCTTGGTGGCAGGATGCCCCAAAGAAGCGAACTTTCAAGAAGTACTCATACCGCATCGGCCCCAGGACATTTAGGAAGGCTGTGCACTCAGGACAGGGAAGGGCTGCACGACAGAAGTACCCCACTAGCCAGCGACGCCTATTGTTGGTGTGCTTGCCAGATTTGCCAACAAGGTGGCATCGACCTCGACAAACTGCTCGACATGAGCAACCAGGTGGGCAGTCTAAGTGCAATGGAATGGCTGCACGAGTTGCTCCTGCCCAAATCCACGTCTCCTTGAACTCTCTTGATCTCTTAGGTCGGAGCTAATGAAGTCCAGCGCTCCAGCATTGGAACGGTTCCACACATGGACATGACATGACATGGCTTCGAAACTGAACGATAGTTCCAGTCTGAGAGCCGTGGGCAGGCTTGGAGGTGTAATGAGCCAAGCATGAATTGGCACAAGCATGTAACTCCTCGAAGCTTCGTCTCGTACTGCAGTCCACTCTCAATAAAGTTGGTAGAATCTGGTAGAATGCGTTTGCAGCTTGCATCAGAGATTGCGACCAGAGACTTGCTGCGTGTTGCATGTTGGTCGAAGTTTCTCTCCGCTGTCCCCTGTTCTCAGACCTTCTCGCTCTTGGTCTCAACTCGCACGGCCTCTCGCATTCTTCAGGATCTCATGGAGCTCTTTTGCGCGCGCCAGCGTCGAAAGTTCAGCCGCGGGATCAAGCGCAAGCCCTGGACTTAGTCACACACAGAGTGTGTTGCTGGTATGTAGAGGAGTTTCGCACCAGACAAGAAAAGGCCCCCGTGTGCCCAAGTATGAACCAACATACAAACGATCCGACATGGATTGCAGCCCACATCTGAGGCCGATCACCGTTCTCAAGAAGTTGCGCAAGGCTGGAAAAACGCGCCGCCTTCCCTTCCCTTCAGGAGCTCGCCCGATCCGTCGCCTGGCCAGGCAAAGCGTGAGACTGCCTACGGGGAGAAGCCGGAGGCAGTGAAGACGCACCTGAGAAACATGGTCATCGTGCCACCTGGATCCGTTTCGGGGAGTGCCGCGTGTGAGGGGCAGGAAGGATTCACCCGGTCTCGATTCCCGCAGTACAGCTTCACTGCAGCTTCCAATGTCAAGCCTAGTTTGTTATGAGTGTGCTTGGACACCGAATTGCGAGAAGCCAAGGCCAGAGATGATCGGCCCCTTGACCTGGACAAGTCGTGTCGGTAGTCTCGGGGCTCGCGGAAGGGACCGGGAGCGGTGATGAACTAAGGGAGCGTGGTTGGCGTTTACAATGGCAAGCAGTATATCAATGTGGAGATCAAACCAGCAACTCGCCCAAACATCCACAACTAGTTCGTGGTCGAGTCCTGGTTAGTCCCAGTTTGTGATACCTGTGGAGGAGATGATCGGACACTACTTGGGAGAGTTTTCGATTACCTACAAACCGATCAAGCACGGCCGCGCGGGGATGATGGGCAAGAACTCCCAGTTCGTTCCGCTCAAGTGAGGCGACATGAAGCTCTCAGTGCAGGCGAAGGCGGTAAAAGGCCAGCACGATTTGGGGTGCCAGTGCTACCACGGGCGTCGGGCGTTGCTTTTGCTTTGGAGCACACGAGAGAGAGACGGGGCAGCTGGCAGGGTGCTCAAGCCCGATGACAGGAGCCATAGCGCCAGAAAGCAAGAGCATCAAGGGCTGCATGTGTATTTGTGCCTTCGTGGCAGATCCTCAAGCATTCCGACTCCCACGAGGGCGTCAAGCGAAACGAGACATTTGCAGGCCTAAGTTCCGAAATAACAGCCTCTACTACCTAACTCTACCGACATGCTGGGGCTCCATGGCTCTTGCGCCAAACGGCGGGAGGCCTATCTTTGTGATGCATGGAGAAGTTTCGACCCTTCGGAAGGCGCGATTGTCGAATTCACCGAGGTGCTTCAGAGGCGGCTTCCTGGCCCTCTTCCTGGCCGCTTCGCAAGAATTGGCTAATAACGGCTAGTGTGGGCTACCTGTGATGGCTGCCTCATGGTCGGATGTTGTCGGTTGCCTGCGTTGAAAGGCCCGTGTCTAGGCCCTAGCATGGCTGCAAACATTTCTGCTCAAAGTTTGCATCCGAAACGGAAGAACGAAGCGGGCCGGCAACAGAAATGGCGGCCCGAGCGGGCCCATCCCTCTGTTTCACGTAGTTTCAGCGGGCTCTGCAGCGGTCCTGCTGCGCCATGCGGAAACCAGCGAGGTTTCTCAGCGCTTTGGTCTTCGGAAGCCTGAAAGCGCGTGCAGAAGTATCGGATGGATTCGTCTTGTTACCATCTCTGGTGGAAGCTGAAGCCTCCACGAGCTCACCTCAGGCTCAGATGCCACGAGACTTGGCGGCTTGTGCTTTTTCAACTGTTCCGTTCTCGCGAGCGTGTGTTGTTATCGATCAGCAAGGACAAGGATTGGACCTCCTTTCCATGGGATCAGATTCCCAGAAAATCGATGACCTCGAGACATGGGTGATGTCTATGGCTGGCAAAGGGGCAATGGACAATGCTACCGTGGGGTTCATTGACCAGATCCGACAGATGGTTGAAGGTATGATACCCCAGGTATTGAACCGGAGTGCAGCTTCGGTCCAGGAGTTGAGGCGATTACTCGAGGCCTTCACACATTGCCGTTTGGAAAAAGTACTCCAAGAGGACCTGGCAGAGCTGCAAGAACGCCACTTCTACTGCAGGGGAAACGAGAGCCGTCAGGCAATCGCAACTGCAGAGGCCACTCAGACTTGGTCCGCCAGTGATCTGGCAGCCTTGCTGCACTTGCTGCAAAAATCTGTCGTGCCCATCACAGACGAGATTGGGAGCTCAGGTCAAACAGTCCGAGTGCACCAAGTTCGTGGCGATAGACCAAATCCCGTCCCATGATGAGTGTGGAGTGCCACAACATCCTGACACGATGCGGTACTACGCAGAGGCATTGAGAAACAAGTTCAGAGACAAATATGACGAGCCTCCCGGCGGCAAGCAGGAGTGCACGATCGAGGGTTCCCCACCATCTGGGCCTGAAGCAGACTGTGTCTCAACTGGGGGCGTTGGGAGCGCTTCGGCCCTTTCTCGTCCCCCCGACGCCCTTGAACGGCATTGCAGATGTGCTTGCAAACATCGAACTTGCCTGCTCTGAAATGCATGAAGTGTGGCGACACAAAGTCACATCAACCGTGACGTGTGAACAGTGCAAGGTTTGCTTCCTCATTGACTGCATTCTCGTCTCCTCTCGGCCCTAATCATTATCGGTTATCATTTATCAAGTTATCACCATCATTATCAGCAATCGTCGGTAAAACTTCACCACCAGAAGCAGCATTTGCCGCATCTGCAGCCGTAAAAGCACTATTAGGAATCTGCATTCGAAAGAACAGGAAGGATGTGGAATGACAAGACAACAAGGTAGGTACGCCGTTCGGCGGCGCGAAAGGTCAAACGATTTCAGGAGCGCTTGTGACTGTTACTGTGATTTGGGTTTTGAAAACTTTTGTTGCATCATTGCTGAAGGCAATGCTACAGGTGTCCGGGTTAGATTTTATGAAACAAGAACGGCATGTCCTTCCCGCCGGGTCTGGGCACCTATTCCCCGCGGGCGCGTCACCACGGCAATGCATAGGGTCTGGCGGGTGATAAGCACGCACACTTCTCGCATTTACGAGGCGTGACGAAGCTCGGACCCGCTGACCCAGTGTTTCGAACAAGACTGATTTGTGATGCTGTGTGCAAAAGCGCAAAGCCGTTAATCACCATGTTTTTTTGCATTCCAGGCCTCATCGCAAAGCGCATGTAAATGACGACGTTCATAGGACCCCGTTCATCTCCACGAAAACATAATCCGCGCAATCGAGCATGTAGAAGCACTGCCAATGCCGCTGCATTTGGCTTTGCACCCACAAGGTGGGTGGGCAACTTTACGGAAAGTTGCTTTCGCTGTTGGGACTCAACCGAGCTGCAACTCACACAACAAATCGTGTCCCACGCAGGAGAGGGAGAGTTGCGGAATCCGACACGAGATCAAGAGGCGGCCAAGGGCCCCAGCGGCCCCAGCACCGGCGATAAGTAGGAAGCGTTTCTCGTAAGCTGCGGCTTGGAAACGCCCGAAAAGTTTTCGAACGGCTCAGAGCCAGTCCGTCGAGCGATGGCCTTGGCTCCGCAACGGTTTCGGAGCATGTAGTCGGGTGTTTTTTTGGCTCCTTATCGGCCACGTCCCAGAACGGTTTGGAGAGTCTGACTGCCAAGGTGGGTTCGAAGGAAAGAAAGCTGTGATACGGCTGCCAACAGCACGGAGTCGCTTCGACTCAGGAAAGCTGCTTTGGAGGAGTCCTGCTTCAGCCACTTCGACACTCATGGCAAGTGTCGATTGCCAGGAGCAACAGCAGCAACTACGAGCCATTTGCAATTCGCTTCAGGAGTGGTCGGCTCTGGGCTCCAGGCTCTAGTTGGTCGAGCCACGCTCGCAGTGACAGGACGAGCTGGATCATCGCATTTGTGGTGGAAAGGTTGCTGCAGAAAGGCGCTGCCACAGCTACGAGGCGCCGAGTATCCGTCAGTAAGTTCTCAGGGGCATTCCCTGACAGGCTGCCCGGCCAGTGCTTGCTGTTTCTATTTGCTTGGCAAGCAGATGTAGATGTCGGCTGTTGACGACATCAATGCATCTTGCAGAAGCTTAGTTATGAAGCATGAGGAAACCATATTATATCGAAAGCGAGAATTCAGGAGCTCCAAACTTTTCTAGGATGCCCATTTGTAAGATTGACGGCACCAGACGTTTGATTTTTTTTGCCCGCGCTGTACCCTTTCGTCAATCACATCTTCATCCACAGCATTCGCGACAGCATTGTCTGCACTGGCCAGTTGATGTAAGTACACCCCAATATCGAGCATTTTGCTCCGACGGTGGTACACCTAGTGGTTGACCATGAGATCTCGCTTGCCAGGTTGGGATACAGTGTCAATATACATCTTGTAGAGCGCGATGCATTTACCGACGTTGTCCGAAAATCGACAACATCAAAATGAAAGAAATGCGAAGGCTGAAAGTCTGGAGAAGTTGCTGCATCCACGCTGTCGCAGGAGTGCTACGAGCGAGCCCGGGTAAACTTTATGGAGCAGAACAAGACAGTGGCAGCTTTGGAGAAAGAAATGAAGCAGGAGTATCGGGCATTGAAGCGGATCATCTGCATCCTCAAAGCCTTCGAAGGTGCCACATCGGCGTCAGACCTTACCTGCAGTAATATGACATACACGTATTTCTTGACGATGCCAGCTGCAGGCGGTGTTGAAGAGAAGGAGCTGGAAGTGTGCAGATCGAGAACTGTGAGCCTTGGTTTGGCTTGTTTTGGAACGCGCCTGGCTCCCCCCCCATGTTGAAGCCGGAGCCCACTTGGCCCCACTTGAGGTGCTGTTTCTGCAACAGTGGCAATATGTGGTAATGAGAATTGCAGCGGTAGTGGTCATCATAGAAGTCGAGACACGTATCCGCGTGTGCCACTACTGCTCATGCTTTAAAGATGTTAGAAACTTGAATAGTACTGAGGATATAAGAGCTGCTTTCAGACAGGCAGACAGGAAGAAAGAGCTATGCCAGTGTAGACCAACCAGCGCAAGAGCACCTACAGTAGTCGTCCATCTCCGACACAGCCAACAACCATGTCTCACTCCTCAGGCTCCCAAGACCACCCCATAGGTCCAAGTGTGCGCGATACTGTGGCAGAAGCACGATTGGCACCAGAGAAAATGTCAGTCGCGCTCCACAAAATCTGCAAGGGACTGGCTGGAACACGATGCTTGAGGCAGAAGCACGAGTCGCATTGCAGGAGGCGGAAACGCACGCACCTGTGGTGCAACAGCACCCAAACAAAACACCCTCGTCACTAGACAAGGAGAATAAATGTGCTTCCCCTGCAGCCTACAGGCCACAGATATCAGCAGATTACGAAGCACGACAAGCAAGTGCAAGCTCAGGAACCTTGATCCTGTGGGCATCGAGTGGACTCCCTTCAAGACTCTGCCGCCGCAGATTACTTGTGACTCGGCCGTGTCGATGTTGGACATCACGATGCAGCACGGCAGACGTTGCGCTTCCTTTGCAGGTTCTGCAAGAAAGTTGTGGCCCTGGCCCAATGCGTCGTCTGCGGAGTATGCCGCCGATGTGTACGGATCAGTTCCCACCGACGTGGCGCTTAAGGAATGTAGTGCTGTACCCTGCTGCCAGACGGTGTACAGCTGAGACTAACGAGTCTGCAAAGCGTTCAGCGAAGCGCCACGCGCACAAAAAGTGATTATGCATCGTCAACTCTCATGCATCCATCGGCCCCGCGCCAGCCCAAATTTAAGTGAGCTGCGTGCATGCCACGCGCTTCAAGTTGCTAAGCCCTGGCACAATCACAGTTTCTCACCCAGGCTACGGTGGCCGCTTGGATGTGCAGAAAGCCAGCTGCGGAGAGGTGCATCAGCTCAGCAATGCAATGCTTTGTTTGGTGTGAATCTCGAGCAAAGCGCGACGTGCAGGACGTGTTGCTTTGCAAAGGGTATGGGATGGGCAATCGGCAAAAGCGGCCACCGCTGTTTGTTGGTGTCCTCATTGTACGTGTTTGCAGCCTGTGGCCCGATGAATCCCGATGGCGGCACGGCCCTGGTACCTTACCCCTGCATACCGACATATACCGACACTGCCGGTGAGGCGAAGGCGGGCTCATTGACCTGTGTTGCTATGTTTTGCGTAGCTTTTGCACGTGCAGGTCCCTTGTGCTTCTGCTCACCGGGTTCATCGGCTCCCTAGCAGCATCTGGTGCAACGAAGCACAGTGCAGTTGAGCGATTCGAGCAGTCACATCATGTAGGGCCCGAAGATGTTCGAAATAGTGCCATTCAATCATACGATGTGCCCATGGTGCCCATCCGACACCGTGCAGCAAAGTTTGAGATATCAATGGCAGCCGCCATGGCCGAGCCCCTTTTCCAACTTACCTTCAGCTTGAGATGCCCTTAACGGCCTTAAGTGCCAGATTCCTTGTGATTCCTCTTCGGGATTTCACTGTCGCAGATGTCGTGCCTGTTGTTCCTCACTGCATCTCCCGAAGGAAAAGTGGTCCTACTTTCTTCAGCATGTCGTTGAGTGACTCGAGCCCTTGTGAGAGAGCGGGGCGTGTTCCGAATGAGTGAAGCCCCTTGCGCTGCAGTTCCTGCGACTTCAACATCAACGTGTGGCCGTGCTGCTTTTCCGGCCGCTTCAGGCCAGGCTTCTCGATTGGACTCAAAGTTTCTGCGATCTGCGGCATCACGTATAGCCTATAATTAAGTTTAGCAGGTTCTTGCAGCTGGCGTAGTTTCCGAGCGTACAAAGGCTTTGAAGCATTCACTTCTGCAGTTGGCAGGCCGCAAGCTCTTGCAGCTTGCCACACAACCAGGTGGCTCGGTCTGCAAGTGGAAGAGCCTCCAACTTTCATTTGCCCTAGCCTTCCTTTTTGTACCTGCATGGCAGCAACGCACACGACAGCCGAGAGTGTCGTCCCTCGCAACCGATCGCGAATCAACTTCTTCGATTCGCATCGCGTTGCAGCTCGGCTTGCCGGGTTCAGACTGGGCAAAGGATTAATGAAGCTCGTGCTGCAGCTCCTTGAACCATATGTGCACTTGAGTGCTGTTTTGATGAAGCGACTGATTTTCTGGGGCCTCATTTTCCTCTCAAGGATTCCTGCTCTTAAGTAGTTTCGTTCATGAGGGTCTGGAAAGACCTTGCGTGGGGTGCATTCGTGGAGCTGCTGCGCTGGTGTGGGCATCACTGGGGGGATTCTGGAAAGGGGAGTTGTCCAGTTAACCTGGGCGAGGCAGCTTGGAGTTCAAGAGCTGCCGTTTGGGAGAGTGAGATCCTCAGTTGTCAGGACAAGGTCCGCGAGTCGCTGGCGAACGAAACAGAGTCCTTGAGACGAGAGCTTGAGTTGTGCCAGCAGAGTTCCTGCAATTGGTTGAGTGGGATTTTCTTCCTCAGCGGGGTCCTGGGAGCCATTGGGACAGCTGTATCCTTCCGCACCCGTGCGGGGGCATACGCCTCTCGCACGATAGAGACGCATGAGCTTCAGCCACTGCGCCCTTCGCCTCGGTGCCGCGGAGGTGGTGTGGCCGATCACGGAGATTGGGACTAAGGTCGTTGTGTACTTGGCTTTGTTGCCGGGCCAGGACGAGAACACCTATAATAACGCCAGACGACATCTACGGGGAGGATTTGGGTGGCAAGGCCATTGATGGACCCGATCGAGGGCGGGTTGTTCCACCAGGAGTGCGGACTTTGGCAAACCTTCACAAGGGTGTGTATCGATTCAGGGATGAACTTACGGATTCTTTTCTGGATCAACAGCTCAGGGAAGCCTGGCAGCAGCATCTGAGCAGTTACGGGAAAACAGACGAGATGGGGGACTTGGGGGTTCTGTTGCCAAGCGGGGCAAGGAAGACCCTTGCCGATTCTTCACAGGCGGCGGCTTTGGGGAAAGGGCCGGCCAGCTCACACGCGGGGGCCGTCGGTGCGCCTGTGGCAGCAGAGCAGCCTTCGGAGGCCCGGGCAGAAGCTTGGGTTGTGATCTACAGTTCAAGTGGCAAGAACCTGGGAGACCAAGTCTCTCCCCAGCCTGGCAGCCAGACCGTGACCGTGTCCTTCGTCTTTACTCTGACGAGGGTGGCCTGGTGATGGTGCAAGGCTGCAAGGCCGAGGAGGCTCCTGATCGAAGTCGTGCATGCGCCTTTTTGGTGGCAGAGAGGACGGAGGAGAGGGACATTCGAGTGCTGCCAGTGATCTTCGATTTGGCCGAAGAGAGATGGCGCACGTCCCAGAGTTCGAGGAGGTTGAGTTCGACGATCTCCCGCTACAGGGACCTCGCACTCTATTGCGAGACGCCCGTCAGCTGCGACGCCTGGGCTTCGACTGGCTTCAACGCCACGAATCCTGGATCAAGAAAGTGGGTTCGCCTGACCGATAGAAGTGTCCATGAACATGCCGAGTGCTGAACCTGATGACCTCCTACGACCAATTCAATGTGCCGTCCCTGGCAAGCCGAAGCGCTAAATAGTCCGCCTCATACGAGGGGCAGAAGAGATTCTGGGCACTCGGGACTCGTCGGACGGTTCCATCATTGATCCTGCTTTGACGAGACATGCAGCGAGGCGTCCAGCAGATCATGCGGGTTTTCTCAAGCAAAACCGCCTCGCGGTGGAGCAAAGGCAGCACGCCTGGAATCGGGGTGATCTCGGAGAAGCTGGGGACAAGCCAGTAGAAGCCGAAGCCTGGAAAGGGCGATGGAAAGGCAGGCAAGCAGGCAGGACAAGAACAAGAGCACCCCCTAGGCATGGGGGCCTTTCGGGTCAAGACAGTGTTACGGCTCCGGCGGGCACTGCAGGTTTTTCCAGACCACAAGAGCGATTCGGGGACATTTTTTCCTTTGCCTCTTCCTCGTGATTGTGGGTATGCCAGTAATGTACAGCTTTTGCCGCGACTTGTCAAGAGGACCCGCTTGGTGAACGTGAAGTGGGCACCGTCTGGACACTAAATTATTTGGCTGGCTTCAGTGATCAGGCAGGCTGGCCGCAGTGCTGTAGATCGGGCACCCGAGTCGGCTTCGTCTAGGACCAGGAGGGCACATTGTCTTCGGCCTCCACCCGTTGATTCTTTGAGTCTGCAGGCAGCGCTTAGGCAGCTGCTGAAGCGAAAGGCTGCGCCCTCGTATGCCGGGGTCCAGCCGGGGCAATTGGTTGGCTGTCGACTGTGTCAGGGAGAAGCTTCCGATACCGTGTGACCAGCTAGAGCCGGTGAGTTTGGATACCATTCCTGCCCGAGTTGGAGCAGGAGCAGTTGCGAAACTTCGAGGAGCGCACGCTGCTGGATGACGAGGGGATCGCTTTGGCCTTAGAGCGTGGACTTGAAGGGGATTGTTACCTGACACAGCCCGTTGAAGTACCACGAGCTCATCGCTGATCTGTGGCAGGCCAAGCTCATCGACTTTACATTACATGGACGCCGAAGGTCCAGGTGGGATTTTTTTGCGTCGCGAACAAGGGCGACCGACAGCGTTTGATAGTGGTGCTCGCACGACAAACAAGCTGTTTGCGCCTCTGCCATCCACGATGCTGGGCTCGGTGGACGCGTGGACTCGCCTTGAAACTGGTGATAGGTCAGATGTTTCTATAGCTCAAGAGGACATCAAGGATTGCTTCTACCGGAAAGTTGGGGGGTACTTTAGCCTCCCTCAGATCGACGTGGCATTGTTGCAAGATGTCTTAGGCTTCGTCCCCGACGGGCTCCAGGACATGATCGACGGAGGCAGTGGTCCAATTTACTATTCCCAAGTGTTGCCGATGTTTGGGGAGTTTGAAGACAGGTCCGTGGGCCTCTTTTTCATTCTCGAATGTGTCACGTCGTTCGGCCTCTTGCCCGATGGAGCTCGGAAGGCTTCAAACAACAAGCTGACGCTGCTGCAGTTTAAAAAAACGGCTGTGCAGCGGCATGTGCTAGGATGTGCTAGGGAAGTCGCGTAATCATATGTGCACTTGAGTGCTGTTTTGATGAAGCGACTGATTTTCTGGGGCCTCATTTTCCTCTCAAGGATTCCTGCTCGAGGCTCTCCCTCCCTCCCGCCCAAGGGGAGTTTGAAGACGGGTCCGTGGGCTCTTTTTTCATTCTCGAATGTGTCACGTCGTTCGGCCTCTTACCCGATGGACCTCGGAAGGCCTCAAACAACAAGCTGACGCTGCTGCACAAAAAGAAAGGGCTGTGCACGGCATGTGCTGGGGAAGTCGGTAATCAATTTTGTCCACCACGCGCGCCTGCGCTGCAACGATGAAGCTGGGAAGGGACCGGTGGCAAAACTGGAAGGGAGTCTGTTCACAGAGAGGTTTGGTTGGGAGATGTTGCGCCAACCCCGGCGCCTCGGGAGGTGGAGAGAACACTCCACAGTGTGAAGTCTACTTTTCCAAGTTTGTGCTGCTTGGGTTTTCGAGAAAACCCAAGGCGTTGATGCTTCCAGTTCTGCTTCGGTAATCGCTCGTGGTGCTCCGGGCTGCCCTTGCATTGGCCTGGACCAACTAAGCGGGAGTCTTGGACCATCTTCGACATGAAATGCTGCCGTGGGCGGCTTTCCAAGTGTACCACGCCCGTCCTCTGCCAAGGACGGTGAAGTCTGGAAGCAAGAATTGGACCTCGGAGGCAACGGAAGGGCTGGAAACACCATGCGTGCGAGAGAGCCTGCTCAACATGCACGGGCCGTCGCATTGCGCCATGGGGCGATGTTTGACGTTATATAGCCTTCAGGTATACCCCGCTAGCATCGGCGCCCACTGTGACATCTGGGACAAGTGCCTTTACCGAAGTATACCGAAGTTGCATTGATGGAATACGAGCTGCACGGACCTCTGCATGTCGTCATTTGTCTGATCGGAGTGTCCATATTTGACACGCTCTCCAACTTCAGAGACTCAGATTGCATGTCCAAGGTCTTGCAGGCCGAATTCAGCCACTCGTCGTATGAATGAGCAGATAGTCCCCTCCACAGTCAGTATAATATATATGTATATATATATATATATATATCTATATATATATATATATCTATATCTATATCTATATCTATATCTATATCTATATCTATATCTATATCTATATCTATATCTATATCTATATCTATATCTATATCTATATCTATTTCTATCTATATCTATATCTATATCTATATCTATATCTATATCTATATCTATATCTATATCTATATATATATATATATGTGTGTGTGTGTGTGTGTATCTACGTATGTATGTGTGTATAAATGGTTATAAATGTATATACATAATTTCACTGAGAGATCAATTGACTCCTTCGTTGCGTGGCTGGCAAGGATGCGTCCTGCCGGACGGAATCGTGGTGCTTCGTGGATCCATGCAACTGTGGCTTGACTGCTTCGGCGGGCTCCGTCGAAGCCGAGGTAGCAAAGGTCTATGCAGCATAAGATCAGGACAGCTTGCATGTAAGAGCCTGCTGACGGCGAGTAGGATCATTTCAATGTAGACGCAACACACCCTGAAAATTCAGCGGACTACACGCGAAATCTGCATACCTTCCACCTTTACGCCCGCACATGGCCGAACTGCCTGCCTTGCTGTTTGTCTCTCTCTCTCTCTCTCTATCTCTCTCCCTCTCCCAGGCTTGAACTGATCTTTCCAAGCCACCGACCAAGCCCAAATGCATTTCCTGAGGCCTGCTAAACACTTTTGGCCTTCGTTTCAACAGATCTGGAGCTCAATGAAGCTAAACCTGAAAATTGTAGTTCAAGGCTTTCGCTTGGTTTCCAGGGCACCAACAGCAATTTTTCAAGCCTTGGAAAGCGCACGTACTTAGACTTGTTTCACCCTGGCTCGTGTTCCTGGCGCTATGTAGTTCCCGAACCGAAATCGAGCTCCCAAAGCCTCCGGCCGATCCCAAAATAAGTTTTCCGAGGCCTGCTAAACACATTTGGCCTGGTTTCAACAAAACTAGAGCTCAATGCTTTCCCTGCACCCTAAAATGCAGCCACCCGCAAACTGATCGAATCACAATCTCGTGTTCAATGCCCGGCCGGGCATGAACAACCCATCTACAGCTCTGCCACCTTGTCTGGTGCTATGATTTGAGTCCAACGGCAGCCATTCTACTGTTGGTGATATTCAATGGCCACACTGGCATGCCGAGCGACCGGCTTGCTCGGGCCGCCAAGTTCAACCTTGCCTTGCACCCTGCCGACAAGGTGCCGGTTCCCGTGCCCTCCTTGGGTGTCCAAAGGGGGAGTCGATCCTGCCAGCTTCGCCAGCTCGAGCAGCTATTTCACTTTTCATCAGTATTTCTCCCAGTATTTTCCACGCCTCAGTCTGCTCCATGTCATGGTGCTGTTGCCAGCTTGGTCTTGGTGGCCACTGGCGGCGACCATACTTGGTTATCTGAGCTTGGACCGCCGCCGGGACAGGGCGCGTTAAACTCCGTCCTTCCACGGCTTGCTCTGCTTTGCCCTGTTTTGCATTCCGGTTTCAGGGCGGGATTCTCACAGAAGATCCCACCCTGACCTTTGCAATGCCACGGCCGGGGTCCTTGGGTTGCCAAACGCCCATGCATGGCTCCATAACAGCCAGCAGTTCTTGCAACTGTCCGGACTGATTGCCGCAGCTGGTTGCGTACCTTCCAAGGCACAACCTTCCCAGGGATTTCTAACCCAGACTCCAACTAGCAACAGTACGGGGTGCTTCGGTTTCCAAACTACTTGATCCAGTACGGCCTCAAGCCGAAATGGCTACGGCAATCTGCGTCTCTCGCGCTCTCTCTGCCTCTCTCCCACTCTCTCTCTCTCTCTCTCTCTCTCTCTCTCTCTCTCTCTCTCTCTCTCTCTCTCTCTCTCTCTCTCTCTCTCTCTCTCTCTCTCTCTCTCGCGACTGGAAATAAAGAGATGCGGAGGCAAGAGCAGCGTTCTGAGCAACATTGCGACATGAAGGCAAGTGTGCAAAAGTATCCTTCCTGTAACAGCACACAGGTAAATGAAAATCTGGACCATTTGACTTGCAATCGGCATCCCTAGCTTCTGTGCGAAAACATGCAGAAGAATCGCCGGAGCTGAAGATTCGCAAGATGGGCAAAGCATGTGTTATTCTGTGAATGCCGTTTCTCGATGTTCTTATCCACCGTTCTCTCGAGCCTGAGAATCGCAGAGTCCGAGTGGGACTCAGGCAACTTGTCATCACGAGAACATCCGAAGTGGCAAGGACTCCTCTGGCAAGGCCCGCAACCTTCAGTGAACAGTGAGCTGGAGGGCCGACGAGTCGGGAGATTTTTCTCAGGTCGCCCCGTGTACGCCTCTGCCGCAACCTGCACCTGGAACGAAGCCGGCAAAGAAGGCAAAGACAGATGTGCAATATTGTGCACACATCAAGCAAGTGCGGTGAGTTCGGTCCGCATATGACCTCGTGTGCTACAGCAGGTGGGCCTTTGCTTTCGGCTTGCGGTGCGAGCCAATTCAAGGAGGATGTTACCTCCCAGCATGATTGTGGTAGCATGTTGGCGTGAATTTGAGCAGGACTCGATGGGCAATGCGAAATGCAAGTGCATTGGAATCGCTGGGCTCAGCGGACATCTCCTGGTCAATGTTTCAAACCAGCAGCCACCTGCCCCAAAAGAAGAGGGCTGTGAGTTTCAGCGCTAGGCCTACAAGATCCGATGCACCTCCGAGCAGGTTTCGGTTCCCGAGCGATCTGGGCTCCAGTTGCCGGAGCTGGGACCACGGACGGCATCCAGACTGTCACGAGCAAGAACAGCCCGGCTGGTGCCATGGAGAAAGCCGAGAGAGCAGAGCGCTTCGGCACGAATCTCAGTGCTCTGAATCACTCCTCGCAGGTGCCAGCGGCAGTGGTGCTACGTGGACCCCTGCGCGTGCAACATCGAAGAGCTCCCAAAGGTGCTTCGGTTGTGAAGATGTTGCGTTGCTTTTCGGCCCCTTCAAGCGGAAGTCGCCATGCCAAGCCTATAAAAATTTGACCCGCTGAGCGGAGCCAGTGGAGCAATGGAGAAGGAGTCCAGGTCCGGCCAGGCCCGCCCGGCCCCTACCTTGGGAGCCCCGGCCTGTGATCCGAAACCGAAAAGGATTTGGGGGTTTCCGGCCTGGTGCATATCTCGGATGGAGCCCGCCGAACCTCTCCGCTGTGAGAGCAAAGTGAAGGCATGGCCGCATGGCACGGCTGTTCAACCTTGCGATTCTCGATCAGCTCGAAGTCCTTGAACTTGAAGATCTGGCTCGGTGCTCGGCATCAGGCAAGCCAATTGGCTCGAAAAGTCGAGCACACTGTTGACCAACACGTTGGCGACTGTCGCTTCGCTTCACTTGCCAACACGCTTCAAACTCGTAGGCCACATGGGCGGAAAGCTGAATTGATTGCACGTCCTAACAGCGGGGTTCCATGCCCTCGTAGCTGAGACCATGTCAATGTTGATACTGATTGCTTTGGGTGAACAGTTTTGTTGGACACGCTTCCACCACCAGACTTCGCAGAATTGCATTCATGTAGTCTCTGTTGTTTCCAAATTTGGAAATCCAGCGATTTCTTGAAAGCTCGGACAGCATCAGGCCTGCTTTTGACGATCCCCATTGCCTTCACCAGGTTGTTGAAATTGTTCGAAATTACATGAGACCAAGAACTATTCGCATTCCGTGATCAAAAGGGCATCCCGCCAGGTCACGCGGAGCACTCTCAAATGCTTTGGGCGTGTGAAACCGGGCTCGGTACTTTAATAGAACTTCATAGTCAAAGGCATGCGCCACTGGTGTGCGTGTCCGTGTTTCCCTCGGACCAAGGTGTCGACTTACTTACCGATGGCGAATTACCGCAAGAAAGCCTTGTACTACTCCTACGCCTCTTGCCGATGCGGACAAGTACATCTCCGGCTCTTGCAAACAACTGCAGAGCGATGCTTGCAGACAGCATTTGTGAATTCAAGGAGACCTGTCACTCCTTCGACACATTCACCTACGACTCGCACTCTGCTTGTGTGAACCAGGAGCCTGCGCTGATCTGCGCTGCCTTTTGCTTGATCGCACACAGGGTTCTGCTGTCAGGGCCATGAGAATTCGCACGTTCACGCCCCCATCAATGCAGTGGAGGGGGGATGGGTGTGAGTACGCACGAACGCACATACAATGTACGGAAACTGCATGTATGTATGAATAGGCAAAGCGGCGGTGCTCTAGTCTAAGTTTCAGCGCCCATGGCATGGTCCACTTCCGTTCATGCCTTCTCATTCCCAGTCCGTGCAATGCTGATGCCAATCATAATTGCATCGGTTGAGTTGAAGCTGTTGCATGATCCGGGAAGAATTGCCTGATCGCATAGTTATTGTGACCGAATTACATATAGTTACAGACCCCATGGCAAGGCACGTCTGCAAAAATGTACGTTGCGCCGCCGCGGGTGTTGTGGGAGTACGTCGGTGTGCACGTGCCTGCTTATGCCTGCTTACGTACGTACATATGTGAGCGCGACATACCTATGCAAGGTTACCAGTGCACGGAGCGATGTATCACCAGCCGGTACATGCGTAGGCTAGTAGGACCCGTACGTACGCGCATACATGACATACCCGCCCACCACCCCTTCGCGATGTTGTTTTATTGGTTTTGTTTGGAAAGAGGGGGACGTACGCATGTATGTACCTATCTACCTACACCTTCTTGTACGTTCGCTGAGAACGACGGACGGTAAGATTAATGGAAGTTGGGATAGAGGTCAAAACACAACGCTGGCGGGAAAGAGGAAGCAGGGAAGGAAGGACGGAGAGCAGAGAAGAAGGAAAGGATGAAACCAAAGAAAGGAACAAAAAAGGAAACGAGGAAGGAAGAAAGGAAGCAACGAAGGGAAAGAAGGAAGAAAGGAAGGAAGGCAGGAAGGCAGGAAGGCAGGCAGAAGAGAACAAAGGCAGGTAGGAAGGAAGAAAGAAAGGAAGAAGGGAAGGAATGAAGGTATATGTATACAAATATGTATATATCATATACCATGCATCATATATGTTTACATGTGTATATATATACATATATACATATATTATGTGTATATCATTCACATTTACAGGAATCCTTCTCAACAGCAGTTGATAGACTTTAACCAAGGGGTTTCGGATCGGATCGCGCAGCAGGGACGTAGCTCACTTGGTTTCCAAGAAATTAACGAAATCCTTACATCACAAGCGAAGTCCTCTCTCCCAAGGCGTCCTCCACAGCAGAAAAAGGAGTACATCTCAGCCTCCACATGGCAGCTGCTTGAAGCTAAATGGGCTGCCTTAGAGACTGGCAACTTGGATTATGCCGAAAAGTTAAGCCTTGATATCAAGCATCAGGTCAAACTAGATAGAGAAGCACACCTTTTAGCCCAACTGGAAGAAATAACCCTGGAAGGTTACAAATGGGACGGCTTAAAGAAAATTAGAGCCAAATTCACGCCATCGTTCACAAAACTCAAGGACGCTCATGGCAATCATGTTCCTTTCAAAGAGTACCCCCACAAAGCAGCTGACTACTTAGAAAAAGTGCAATGGAAAGCCGCAGTGGAGATCCCCAATGAAGAATCAAGACAACATGTACCGTTACAAAACGGGTCTTATCACATAGATGATTCCCCCTTTACCAATACCGAACTAGACTTGGTGTTGTCGAAGCTGAAGAGAAACAAATCACCAGGTGCTGACGGTGTAAGTGTTGAGCTGTTTAAGTTTAGATGGCCAAATGCGCAAAACCGATTAATCGTAGTAGAAGCTGCAAATTGTTGTTTGCAAAATGGTTACATGCAGCCTGAATACTTACGACAATTGTCGCTTCGACCTACAAAAAAGGTGACTCTTCAGTGTGTTCGAACTACCGTCCAATCTCGCTCTTAAACTCTTGTTATAAAGTAGTGGCTGCACTGCATTGGTTAAAAATCGTTTAGATGCTGGCTTAGATGCATGGTTAATGCAGACCCGATATGGATTCCGAAAAAGTCGAACTGGATCCTGGCGGCATTCCTGAGGATTCCATCGGAGCTGAACTGGATCCCAGCTGCATTGATGACAACTGCACTGTCCCTGCGGCATTCCAGACGAATGCACTGGAGCTGAACTGTGGCATCCCTGATGATGCCGTCGGAGCTAAGCGACTGCACTGGAGCTGAAGTCGATCTGTGTGGCATTCCAGACGACTGCACTGGAGCTGAACTGGGTCCCCGTGGCATTTCAGACGACTGCATCGGAGCTTAACCGGATCTTTGTGGCATTCCAGGCGACTGCATTGGAGCAACACTTGATCCCTGCGGCATTCCTGCTGGCTGCAATCTCTCCAACGTCACCGCCATTCACCGCCTCTGTTGCTCGATCCTGTAGACCCGTCTTTCAAGCGCATCAGCTCCACCACCCTCCCCAGAAGAACCTGACAAAACCACAGGCCCCAAAGGTGCGGCCAACGGACCAAGCAAAGTACCGGGTTTGCGTCGGTCTCGCTGCACGACGCCTTGCAGTTTCACCGTCCGAGTTCAAGGTGCCCGCCATAATGCTGTCCAGCGTCGCTAAAGGCAAACATCTTTCGGGAGGGGCTCAGTGGCTTGTTCCAAGCGCAGCCGTCCCAAATGCGCATCCAACCGACGAGGTCCATCCAGCCCAACAAGCTGGCTTCTTGCGTTCCACCCATTGGAGTCTCCATCTTGGCCGAAGTAGTAGCCGCCGTTCGCCTCCCTGAGCTGGTTTGCTCCCGGCCAACCAAAGTCACCAAAGTCGTCACCAGATTCGTCGTGTAGGCCAAACAACGAGCTGGGGCGTATCACGCTCATCATGTTCAGGCTTCCTTTGCCCCATCGGCCCCGGATGGTGCTTGTCAGAGGATGGGACCGGCGGCCCCTGAAGAGCGGGAGTCCTACCGTGACTTCCCTGGCCTGCGCCGTGCCTGATGACTCTTTCAAAACGTACTTGGCTCCCTGATCTCCTCATCGACACGCACTTCTCCCGCGCGATTCCCACATCCACCTCGCGAGCGCCATCCTCCCCCATCGGCAGGTCCTGACCGTGCGCAGTCGCGCAGCCTTCCTCCACCGCGGCCTCGACTCGACCGGCCGATTGTTGTGCAGCCAGTGCGCACCAACAAAGGTTTACGGCTCTCAAAGGCGCAGCATTGGGCTCATGACCCTCGAATGACGGAGTGCACCACGGACCACGTTTTGTTTTCTAAGCCTTGCTTATCCTTGCTGTAACAGGTTAACAGTAACAGCATCCATCAAGCCAGCATATTCACATGGCATATGGCGAAGCGGCGAAACAAACTAATAATATCCCGAAGTTCTATGAACTAGCGCATGGTTTGCGTACAAGCAGTGCCCATGCCTGCTGCATACACATATCCATTGGTCATGTCGAGGAAATGCAGGCACGTGCAGGTGGAAGAACGTGTACCAGCGTGTACCTTCTTTTCCTGCATCGCATCTACACACATACATACATGCTCCTGCTCGGACATGCACTTACATTTGCCTACACGTACGTACGTGTGTGCTTACTTATGCCCAACCCTTGTTGCGGCCCCCCTCATGAGAAGCCTTCAGCATCACAGGTGCGCATTGGTACGTACACACACGACATACAAGACATACATCCATACATGACATATCATACATACCATGCATAGACAGACATACGTATGTACCCGGACGTACGTGCTAGCCCCCACTCCCCTGCCCCCCCGAAAAACAACTCGGCGTTGCGGCAGTTACAGGTCGTACGTACGTACGTACCCCCGGCCCTGGAGTTCTCACTGGTCGCTGCAGTTTGGCACATTGTCAAGTACAAGCAGGTGCAAGTGGCTAAAGGCTGGAAGCCTGCGATCCTTTCCGCTGAGTCTGTGCAGCGGGCACGAAAAAAAACGTCACAAAGGCAAGATAAAGGCAGCAAGGCAACCCCAGGGACAGGATTTTCAAGCGCCTTTGTGAGCTGCATGTGATATCAGGACACAAAGGCGAGATGCCTGGCACTGGGCGGTGATCCCGATGACGCAGAGATTCGCAAGTGTGTCTGACACTCAGTGGGTCACAGCTGCAGCGTGGCTTTGGACCACGTCCGTCGTCTTGCCTCCAAGGCTTGGGGTGGTCCAGAGATGCTGGTCTGCGTAGATGGAGGGAGAAATTGTCCAGGGTAGCTCAGTTGCCAAGTTTCTTTTTGAAGATTTGGCCAACTTAGGATCAAATGTTTGGGCAAAGAGCTACTGCACGTTTGCCAGCTTGGCAGTACCTTGGAAGCATGAGCGCTTTGAATTGGTCTTAGGCTTGAGGCAAGTTGCTAGCCCGTGGTATTGTTGAAGCTTACGGGCCTGTTATCAGTGTAGTGAGGTTTGTCAACTGACCACCTGTTGAGCTCCCAGGGGACAACCCTCTTCTGTAGGTCTCACATGTGCGAGTGTAGGAGCATGTGGCACTGATAGCTCCAATGCCACTGAGATGAGACACAGAGCGACCTGTCCTGGTCGTTATTCAACCGTGAATCATTGGGCGATGCCAGGACAAGTCTGAGTCCGGGGTTCATGATCATGTTGTGGATGCATGCGAAGAACTCGCTCCCTGATTGCGAGAAAGCATGAAAGGAAATGGCATCAACCAGGCCTGTTGAATATGGCAAGACCCCAATCATGACAAACCGCAGCAGCAACAAGGTCATCGGAAAATCACCAAAACAGCGGCACAGCCATAGCCGGTGATCAGCTATCAAGGCTCCACAGCAACATCGACCCAAGCAACAGCAGCGAGGACCAACTGCCACTAACAACAAGCAACACCAAACCTGCCGGCAACGACGACGACCACCACAACTGTAGCAACAACAACAACAGCGACAGCTGCTGCTCCCCCTCCTGCACCACAGACAGCGATTATGACTCTTACTACCACAACGATGACGACGGCGACTACTACTACATACTCGAACTGGCCACGGTAAACCTTCGGGCAAACAGGGAATAAACAGTGCGGAGGAAAGCGCACACTCCAAACTTCGCAAGAAAAACGGACCCCGTAAACCTGAGAAGTTGTAAAAACATGCGCGGAACTATCGTCATCCTCATTATCATCGCCATCATCCCGCACTCGAACCACAAGCCAGAAGTGCCGCACACGGCAGCAGAATAAGGTACTATTTCCAAAACAGAGGTGGTTGGCAGGGGAGGGCTGCTGCTACTTCTATCGTGATTGCTGCTGCTACTGCTGCTACTACTACCACTCGTGCTGCTACTACTCCTACCACTACTACTACTACTACTACTACCACTACTTCTGCTACTACTACTACTACTGCTACTACTACTACTACCACCACTACCAAGACTACTACTACTACTACTACTACTACTACTACTACTACTACTACTACTGCTACTGCTACTACTACTACTACTACTACTACTACTACTACTACTACTACTACTACTACTACTACTACTACTACTACTACTACTACTACTACTACTACTACTACTACTACTACTACTACTACTACTACTACTACTACTACTACTACTGCTACTACTACTACTACTACTACTACTACTACTACTACTACTACTACTACTACTACTACTACTACTACTACTACTACTACTTCGCGCCCGGGCGCCTGGTAATTTTTCAGTGGTTCGAGGGTGTAAAATGCTGGGTTGTCAGAGTCTTTAGAAATTGTAGTTAAGCCAACTTCAAAAAAACTAATTACTTGGGTTTATGATGATGATAAGGATGATGATTATGAGGATGACGATGAAGATTGTAATTCAAAAATCCAGGAGGCAGCCCAGATTGCAACAGTGGGCGGCAAAAAGCGAGCTGCTCACACGAAGTCAACGGCTTGATGAGAGTAGCTTCGCCAAAGCTGTTTTGCGAAAAGGCTGAATACTGAAGCTGCCGAGCCGTTTGGCTAAAGGGTCTGCATCTACGATGCACAGGAAACACGCGATTTGGGCCTTTTCCCGCTTCGGCTATAGGCAGCCCTTCGCCTTCTTTGGGATGGTGTAACAAGCCCCTGTACATCCTGCTCCATTTTCACCCTCTAGGAACTTGGACAAACAAACAGCAGCATCAACGACCAAGTTGATCCCAACGCCGACCAGGCATCTTGAAAAAACAACATCGCCCCATTACTCATGCAAATCGGAGGCCCATGCATGCTGCGTTAGCAAGCCCAAGCCAGGCAGGCGGCACACAGCAGAGGACAAGCAGAACAGTTGAGCCCAAGAAATTCTAGTCCAGCCATCATGACAGTTCATGCTGTTGAGAATCATGTTTGTGTGACTAGGCAACCGGTTTGTCTATGCTTGTCTTATTGACCTGCTGCGCAGGACACCTAAAGTCGCCTTTGCTGTGCCTGGGCTGCCTGGGTGGATGCTAGCTGCTAGGGTTTCCAAGGCAAAGTGCCGAATGGTGATTCACATCCGAGGTGACGACCACCGTGTATGCGTCTCTCGCAATGTTGTTTGCGTGTGTCGTTCGAGGACTGTTTTGATTCGAGTCTCACAATCGCATTGCGCAGATCTTGGTCCTGGAAGATTTGTTTGCTCACGCAAATGACAGAATGCAACAGCCATACTTAAGAACATAAAGCCAACCACGTCCCTCGGGATTGTTTTTTTCACACGGCTCCGACAGTTCATGGCTTGGTAGCCTGGTAGCCATGTCTTGTGAAGAGGGACAGGCTAAGCCCAAGAGTCCAAAGTTTGTCCTCGCCTGCGGCATGTGACGGAGCAGTAGCCAGTGGTGCCCAGCATTGCACAGCTGCACAGCACATTCTCAGCTCAAGTTACGCGGCTACGCGTTTTGTTTCGCTTTGCATCGCAATCTTCGCCGCCAGGCCAAGCACCTGCGCTTTGCTCCCACCTCCGCGGTCGAAGCAGCTGGTGTGGGAACAGTCGAAGAAGAGGCGCTTGAAGACGGAGATGCCGCTGTGGCAGGCCAGAACACCATCTACTTCGTCTGACAGATGGCAGCAGCAGTGGGCTGAGACATTTCAACAAGTCAAAAACATGACGAATCGCCCTTCATTCGAGGTCGTCCTCCATCAGCCTGCTGCAGGAGCCAGTGGAGCGACCGCTGAGCAGGCGGGCAGCGGTTTGCTGTGTTTTGGCCACATTGCCTTGCTCATCGCCGAGGTACTTGCACAAGGAGGATAGCTATTACAACCGAACCCTGGTGGCATCTGGTGGCCCTTGTACGTCTTGGCAAAGCGTCATACCTGTCAAGCACCAAGGAGTAGTTCCAGACTGGGACCTTCAATTCAAGACGCTGGAGCAACAGTGCCCAAGAAGTTCAATCAACTCATGTAAATGTAGATGCAGACTTGTTTCTGTTGCAACCCGCGGCCCGACATGTGCATGCCTGCTCCTCTTACATGAATTCCATCTACTTCGTATGAAGCCGAATTTGCCTTTCGCCGAATCCGTCCACACCGGTGCACATTCGGGAAAAACTCGTGTTTATTTGTTTCGGGAGCTCGGCTGCGTGCATGCCTGCATTTCGCCACATCCACACTTCAGCGTACTGAGTTGGAAAACTCCAGACACGGCAGTGTCGCGGCAGAAATGCTGTAAGTGTGGAACGTCGATCTGTCAGGGTGCAGGGGATTGTGGGCACCACAGTGGGACCATTTTGGAGCCCTGCCCGCCGTTTCTGTTTGCCGCCAGGTACCTTTATGAAGGTGCGCATGAAGCATGGTCTGGAAGTGGTGTCAAGGATGCTCTCGATTACATGCGATTTCCTCGAGTTGTTGTTGGCCAGGTGATTTTTCACTCCTCATCAAAGAGGTGACAGAAGAAGGTGCTGTCGTGCAGGACATGTGGCGGCTAGCTGTCTGCTACTAACGGCCCAGTGAAGCGACAGAACACATACTTGCACCGCTCCGGCTGCCCCGGCCCGAGCTGTCCACTGCAAATTGTAATTGTATTGGTTGTTAGGGGTCTAGGAGCCCAAAACCATGGAAGGTCCCAATAAAACCAATATTGTGGAGTCTGACCTGTGCTGCCCACAGACTCTCCAGCATTGGTTTTAAAGGGACCGTCCATGAGTTTGGGCTCCTAAACCGCTAGAGCATTGGGACCTCTCAGCACCTTCTCGCCGAAAGAGTGCGACAATCAAGCGAGGCTTCACGCGGCATGCATGTGAAGCTCCGTCAACAGAAGCCCGTTGCAGTCAATGGTCATAATACCCATATATCATGTCTAAACGACGCTCCAGTAGCTGCTTGACGAGCTGACAGCAAGTGACTGGAACCTCATGCCAAATGGGAAAGCGTGGAACACACTCGTGGACGAAGCGGGTCGGAATACAATATTTTAGATTCAATTGTAGTGTTTCCTGCTGTTGCACCGAAAAAGTCAGCTAACCACATCCCGCTTGAACTTTCTGACGAACAAGCAACGTCGTCCTAAACAATTCTGAAGTCTTCAGTTTGTCGTAGTGAAGTAGGTACCGTGGCAAAGGAGGTACATGTGTAACTCACGTGACACATGTATATTATATGACGATTACATCGTGCCTGGTTGCATGCACTCCGTATGCATGTATGTCTGTATGTATGTACGTTGGTATGTATGTACATATACATATGTATGTATATATATATATATATGTGTGTGTACACGTACCATCATGTAGAGAAGCACCTTGTCATTGTAGCTCAGTGCAATGCAATGTAGTTTCACGTGATGTGTGCAGAACCATTGCATACATGCGTATAACTATGTATACATTTGGTATGTCTACGTACATGCCTACGCATGCATGCACACGCGCACATACATGCCTGCACACGTGCATACATGATGCACGTAAACACATACATACTTGCATACATACACACATACACACATACACAACATATCACACCTCACGCATATTTACATTTCGTGACCATGTCTGATGCTTATCATCGTTTGTCGAGTTATGTGCTGGAGCATGTGCAGGACGTTACCACTGGAGTCTTCGGCTTCCTCCCAGAGGCTGGAACCTGCCGGCGGCTTCCGGCGGCAAACGCTAGCAAAGATGCCTGCAGATAGTAAAGGCGAACTTCGGTTCTGTTGGCACCGACTTGTTGCCCGGTGACGTGGTAAATGGGGCCAAGCCTAAGCCCAAGCTGTTTCAGCTTTTGCACCTTACTGGCAGTATTCCCAGGTGCATCTATCTGGACAATAGCATTATCCAAAGTTGGAGCCCCAAGTGCCTGGTTCTAAGCCGAAAGTGCCCTCGCCTCGTGACGTGAAGGTCCGGATCCTTCGGTTCTTCGACTCCAAACCGGAGTCGTGTTTGAGTGGGATGAGGCCACTTCTGCCATGTAGGCATGCCATGATCGCGGTTTGTACGGAAGGCTGCCGGCGAGGGCTACATCGTTCCATCCGAGGAGCAGGTGTTCGATGGAGCTAGTCGCACGTGCACCTTGCACAGTCGTGCTAGGACTAGGAAGTCTTCAGATGCCTGTTCAGAGCAGGGTTGGTCACCGCCAGGGAAAGTGCAAGAGTTCAATGCGGCCGAGCGGAGCGGAGGGTTCTGGAAAAGCTGCCGACCGGTTGTTACCTGCCGCCGAGTCCGAGCACCCCGCCACTTGCACCTAGAACCTCGAGATTGTGCAAAATCAGAGCTGCTCCATGCTGCTCCCAAACAGATTGTCCGGAAGGAGGAGGAGGAGGAGGAGGAGGAGGAGGAGGAGGAGGAGGAGGAGGAGGGGGGAAGGAGGGGAAGGGGAGTTTTGCAGACACTCCTGGTGGCCCGGTGTTTGGGTAATTCCGATACAACCCCCCTCTCAAGGAACTAAACCGACTGTATCGAGAACGTCGCTGGGCGCTGTCTATTTCACAGGAAGCAAAGCGACTTGCCAAAACATGCTGAAACGCAAAAAGTGGCGGACCGAGGCTTCTGTAATCTCCGGTGGCTCTTGGAGTGCACGTCTTCGTGCATGCGTAGAGAGATTTGGAAACCCTGCGCAAATTCATGTTGAGCCCAAAGGTGGTCAAAGCTGCACATTGTATGCTCGCCCCGTGTTGAGCGGGGGAAGATCAGCTAGTCAGCTATTCACCTAGATGTCTGACTTCACTGTTTACAGTGTTGATCCAGGATGCCTTCAATATGATCCGAACCCTTCGCCGAGACATTAGGTGGCACGACAGCCGGCGTCCCTCGGTGGCTTCCAGAGGGGTGGGTCGAAGTGACTAGCTAGCCGCTTGAAATCACTTGAACGAATCCCAAGAATCGTTCTATTCTCAGGTCTCTTTCCTGGTCAGTTCGTGCAGTTCGAGACTGCGCTGCCTCATGAGGCCTTGGAGCAAATGCCGCCACTGTCAGCACTGTAGCTTGCTCTTGGTTGTTTTTTTCGCCGGGAAGGTGCCTGTGATTTCGGAAGAAAACCCTCGAGCGCCCTTGGCACTGCGCGTGCGGGGCCTCGAAGTCTCGGCCTTTGCTTGCCGTGTGTCGCGTGCTGGGGCTCCGGACTGGGGCCTTTCAGAAAATCCGCCTTCCACCGTCTCTTCTTTGACTCTGCTTATAGGACGGCACCTGGCACTGGCCATTTTTCAAGGCTTCGGGCTGGGTTCCCGTTGACCCATTCCCGGTTTCTGGTGCTTGAGTCAGCATCCCTGGGTTGGAGTCCCCATCGGAGTGTTTTGCGGCCTGCACAAAGGTCCGGGTTCGAGTCCCGGTCGGGGTGTTGTCGCAGTGGCCGCCACACCCGGGCACCAACGTCGTGGGATCCTCTCCGAGGCTCATCCGAGAGCGTTGGAACGATGCGGAGAAGGTGTTGCTGTGCAACAGCAATGCTGTTGGAGACTGTTGGCACCGGCCGTTTATCTTTGCCAGCTGCCGCAGCTCCAAAGACCTCTGCCAGCCCTTGACGAACCCCTGGGTCAGAAGCTTCACACAAGAAACTGTCGACCAGTGCCTTGCGATGAGTGTAACTTCAAAAGCTGATCAAGGTCCGATTTTCCCTGGAGGATGCCTACGAGCTAATTCCCGAAGGCGCTGCCGCAAAGCCGCGATGTTCTTCCAAGCAATTGAAGTTGGAAGGCGCAGCCGAACCGGTGCTGGAGGCCCTTGGACGTTCTGTGAATTGGCTTGCCCCAGGCCCCCAGGCCCCCAGGCCCTTGCCAGGTTCATTTCGGGTTGCCCTGCCTTCGGCTTGGGCTGTCCTTTTCACAATGAGGGAGCAAGCTTTTCTGCAGGCGGACAAGGCCCCTTACAAGCTGCCGGAAATCAGCGAAGCTGATGACGACGGTGATGGGCGAAGCCTGACCGACCTCAGATTTGGAGATGGCAAGGAGACTCGCGAAACACAGAAGGAGTGGTGAAGAAGAGCTCCGGAGTCTAATGCAGGACGTCTCCCAAGCTCAAGCAACGGACATCGTTGCCAAAAAGGCCTGGACCTGGCCTATGTGAAATTGGTCGTGGCCTTTTGATGAAGCCTAACTGCAACGAGGAGATGGCACCACAGCGTGACGCCTTCCCTGTGAGTCCTGCACGACCTGAGCTCGCAGCCAAGCGCGCCACCCAGATTTTCGGCCATAGTGCTTCCATGTTCTTAAGTGCTTGGAAGCCTCGAAGCCTCGCCCTCCTCTCGCCACACGGCGTGCCGGCGTAGCGGGTCTCAGGAAGAAGGTTCACCCGCTTCTCCAGCGCTTCGCAGAGGAAGAGCCCCTTCTGGCCGAGGCCGAGAGCCGACGCCTCGGAGACGGGGCGCGAGGGGGCATGAGGGGGCCGCGACGCTGCGACCGCTGCGACCGCTGCGACTGCGACTGTGTTCGACTCCGAGTGTTCTGGCCGAGGTCCATCCTGGATGTGGCAGCCGCACTTGGAATACCTCAAGGAGAACCAGAGCATGCTTTACTTAAGGGCTCTTCGCCTTCGAAAAGGAAGGGCCTTCAAGAGTTTGTGTGTAGCAGGAAGAGCGCTACGATCCCATCGTGCCTATCCAGCTTCGCAAGATGCCAGTGAAGCCAAAGCGAATCCGAATCCTCTCGCACGAGGCAGATGCGCCTTCCTGAATAGCTTTGTGTAAAAGTCTTGTGCGGTGGGCTTCTGGCAGGTGGCGCTCGAGCGTGGAGACACCTGGCAGGAAGCTGCTCAGCGGCGTGGCTTGAAGCTCTGGGACAAACAGAAACCTCCAGGCCTTGGTGACGCCGCGAGTGGAGCGGTCGGAGCAGAGCGAGCGAAGAATCCGCAAAAGAGCTTTGTGATTGCAGGTCGGAAGCAACAGGAGTATCTCTCGCAGAAGTCGAAATCTCAGACGGCTCTTCCGAATCGGCACTGGGATTCTCGCCCTTCAACGCAAGGTTGCACCTCGAGCAGACCCGTGCAAAAGCGGAGAGGATCAGGCCATGACTTGAATACTGCAGAAAATTTAGCGTTTCAAGAGCGATCGTTACAGATTTTGAGTGAGAAGGCGGAGGAAGTTGAAGCTGGCGGCTTTTGAGAAGCAGCAGAAGCGGCCATGGCGAGCGTGAGAGGACCGAGAACCTACCATGCCCATCCATGCCCGAGCTTGTATTATATTGCTCGTGTCCTGGTGTAGCTCGAGCTGTATGCCTCATCAATCTTGGCACATCTGGTACTTGGGCTGCGATTGCATGGAACGAACATATGCAAAGAGTTCGAGTCTCCGGTCGTATTGCTGACGGCATGCACCAGTTGCATTTAGCAAAGCAGCGGCAAGGAAAGGAACACCAAGTTAAACAGGGCAGGCGAGAAATCTAAGCACAATTCAGCGTGCTCAATCCATGGAGTTCAGCCGAGCCTCCCCCCGCATGATTACGCATTTGCCACCTTAAACACAGTTTGCTGCTAGGATACAAGGTCTCCGATGTGCCCGCCAGTGGAAAAAGGTCTTCATCTCCAAAGTGTTCAGTGGAGTTCCGCAGCTGTCAGAAACCAGAAAGCAATCGCAGTGTTGGGCGGTCATGATCATTGAATCACTGGTGTCACAATATACATACCAACTGGCTCACAGCTTCTTAAAGGGGCAGGCTTGCCCGGAAGCTGGGTGGATGAGGACGGGTTCCTGTGCATTTTCTCCGCAGCTGTTGAACATGTGTGCAGTTTGCTTGCACAGTCCGGTGTCATGTTTGTTCAGGTAGCGTTGTCTTCATCTCATACTGACCCAGATTCTGTAGCGGGGATCCCGGGAACTGTCTGCCGCAGAGTGACTAAGTTTCGATCTTTGCAGCCCTTGTGCTATTTTCAAAGAATGCCACCTCCCAGGCGACGTTTTACTTAAAGTGCGGACCTGAGTTCATCAGACATGTCGCGGCGGAGCGACAGTGGCAGAGTAAAAGGGCCTGGATGTTTCGTCATTGGCACTCCTTCCGTTTGCATGCATTGCTCCAAGGCCTGACGAGAGCTTAAGGCTTCAGGCTTTCATCCAGGGTTAGCGGCCTTAGCAATTAGAATAAGTAAGGCTTTGATCTTGGTAATTCGTCAAGTGCCTGTGTTCGGGCTTAAGGCCTGGGGGTTTAGGAGTCGTGGTTTGGGAAGATGGGGAAGACTTGGATAGCATATCGGTCGCAGGACATATACTAATTAATGTAGGGCAGCATCGGTGCTTGTAACAAGGTCCCAGAGCTCACTGCACCTTAACCCGTCTGCAGCATCGAGCCAATGGACCATGAGTGCCACACCGAGGTTTCCAGTAGCGAACTTTGGCAGCGATGGTGCGCGGATCCGATGCGCATAGCAGATTTCTCTGTCCCCGCGTAAGTTTGGGAGGTCCCTGCGCAGGATGTCCTGGCTTCCTTTATGTCCATTCTGGCGGCAGCTCCTTTGGCCGCCCGGCAAAGAGCAAACTTGCCGTTCCGTGAGGCGAATCGGCAAGAACGCACTTCTCAGGCCCAGGAGTTTTGCCTTCTCTGCTTCTTCTGCCTCGGGTTCGCTCTCTGCCGAACTACGGCTCGGGGCCCGGGTAGAGATGATTTCAGCACAGACGTTGGCCTTCTGATCTGAACAGGCTATGAAGCAATTGCTGGGCACTCGCAGGCAGATAGCACGCCTCACTAGTTGTTTGTGCACCGTGCGACAAGAAGGCACCGTGTGACCCTGGAGCAGCTGCAGACCATGCTGGCTCAGCAGAGACATGAAGAGGTGCTGATCGGGGGACGCAGCTAACTAACTTATTGTTTGCAGCGGGCTTCTCCTGAGCTCTCATGTTTTTTCTTGTGCGTGTGTTTCGATTCATCCCCAGCAGGGCATTTCCCGGTCAAATTCTTGATGAGTCGGTGCCCGATCTAAGTAAACACTTCGACTCTTGCGTTGTGCCCTTACAGGCTCATGTAACTAACCAACCTTGATTCAAACGGTCAGTGTGTGCATCATGCTGGAAGGCCGAACGTAATTTCCATGCTGTCTTGGTCTCCTCCATAGAAGAAATTTCATTCTCATCGTCGGGTGCGTCGTCCTGGGCCTGGGCATACTTCCCTGTCAATGACAATGAGATATCCGCAGGTGCTTGATGCATGGCCACTCTTGGATGAATTTACATCCCAGGCCGACAGAGAGCTATGGTGTTCAGTTGCTTCTGTGCTTCCGGCTGTTGTCAGGGCGAAGCAGCTCTAGGAAACTGAGCACTGCTGTGGACAACCCCCCATAGGCTCTAAACTCTAAAACCTTGCCCAAGACTCCCATGGCCCTTCGACCTGGTCCAGCTTCTGGTCCGACTTCCATGCAGCAACCAGCAACTTGACATGCTCGCGATACGTGCGCCGTGAGGGATGTTGGTGGAATTAAATACGAAAGAGAATTTTTGTTGCCGCATATTGCAGCCGCACCATGTTTAGACGGGCTGCACTGACGACGTCAGCACGATATTGTGTAGACGGCCCTTGCGGGCTTGCAACTGCCTGCCCTGCCTTGCGAAAGGCTTTATCAGCTGTACTTACAGCCCTCGTTGTTTTGAACAGGCTGGACGGACGTGGGGTTGCTTGTTTTGGACAACCGCATGGAGTAGCACGGCGTAGCTGCGACACAGGCCAGAAGATGTGGGGCTCTTCCTTTCGAAGGCCGCCACGAACCTGGCACATCTGAGGCTGGCGGGTTGGGAGCATTCTGCGCTGGCTTAATTTATGGTGCGCATGTTGGACAGGCGAGGGATTAGACTTAGAAGAAGCTGGCCGCATAAGGATGAGGAATCTCAGGATGCCTGTGGAATGCAGTCCCACAATGTCCCACAGCACATCTGGCAACTTGTGAATCGTTCGGACTCCATAACATGCCTTTGCCAGTCAGCACTAACAATCCTCTTGTTTTGGATCTCTTAGACTTTTACTTCCACTTGAAAGACAAGCCCAGGAAACTGTTAAAGAATCGGACATGTTGCAATTCACAACAGGTGCAGCTGTGAGCAGCCGAGAAATGCAGGAGTTGACAACATTCCGAGCGTGTGATTTGCAACAGTAGCAACAGCTGCAATTGTAGTAGCATGTTACCTCAAAACACGAGAGACAACGTTAATACCGGAAACAGGGGGCCGCCAACGTCAGGGACAGATTTTTCCGCCGGGTTTTTTAAGGAATAACTGCACGCTGCACGTATGTGCACCTTGTACCACCGTGTCTTCGACATCCCTGAGCCATCTCCCACAACCCGCACGAGGCAGTCTGCCAGCTCAATGTCGCCCGATCGCGCCATCCTTTGTGTCCCTTGCGTGATCTTGCGTGCGACCCCTGCATCATTCACGTCCCACGCATTTTGGCGCAAGCCCTTTCTGCACATGTGCACGGTCCACAGCCGTAAATTCGGGATAGCTTTCGCGGGCCTCGGCTTGCCCCTCAAGTCGATCGATGGCGAGTGGGTTTCCACTGCTAACATTCCAGAGCATGTCGCTTGAGTCGAGATGCTCTGATGTGTATGATGATAATGAAGTCACCAACCTTCTGAGCATCTTTCCCCACTCTGGCTTTTGATGCAGGCCATCCCTGTTTACGTGCATTCGGGGCTTGGTGGACTTGCAGTGCCAGGTTCGGCGCCACTGTAGGATCCCATGAAACTTCTTTTCTGTACATCAGAGACTCGCAGGTGCCAGTGGAGTGCTTGTCACAGGCCTTACGAGATGCTACGGCCTTGTTCGGGGACAGGCAGATTGTCGGTCTTGTTACCTTTCCCTGTGCCACTGCTATGCAGCCACAGGTCTTCCAACAAAGCCTGGCTGCTTTGGACCACCGTGCTTCGCTGGAGTTGCTGGTGGTGCCCGGCTCAGATCAACAGAACTCCCACAAGCTCCGGCTTGTTTGGGTCGTTTGGAGATGTTTGGGTGTGTCATGTTGCGCTAAAGTCGTGCCATGCGAGGCCTTTGCAAACACGAATGACGCAGAATACGTGTGGATCTCGTTCACGCACATGGCTTCATTCTGTCGTTTCGACCACACCTTGAGCACGGAACATAAGGCGAGGGAGATGGCGTCCCACCTTGCCGACACGGAGCAGACATTGCCGTTGAGTCTTAGAACTTATCCTTGATGCCAGACGCAGACCCGAACCCTGAGACGGAAATAGACACAAGAAGGACAAGTGATATGCAAGGCCCAGTGCAACTGTTTGAATCATCACGTTCAGGGTTCAGGGGTGTCAAGAGATTAGGACTTAGGATTTACATGTAGGGAGAAGAGATACGTTTTACTACTGAGGCTTCTGGCCGTGGGCTTTTTGGGGTTTTGCAGAGCCGGCTGACAGCGTCTGAAAAGATACCCTGGAAGACGTTTCAGACGCACCACCGACAGAGCACACTAGCTACAGACTGGTCGAACAAGGGACCGAGCATAGTTGTGCTGTCGCAGACGCTAGAATCATACTAGACTACTGCAGGTGTGACATCAGTGTCTCCGTGGTGCAGGGTTTCCTGTCGCCACACTCCCAGACATCATGACACGAGGAGAGTTTGGTGTTGTCAGTGCCAGCGGCGAGGTGCGGAAATCTACAAGCTGCGCTGGATCACCTTCCCGCTGTCCCTTTGCAAGCATTGGCTGATCGGAAGGCGGTGTGAGTCCTGTCGCAAAGAGGCACACATCATCAAAGCATGCATGGCAGCAAGGTTCTGGAGCAGCCTGGACTCTCCACTGTGACGAAGGTCGCCACATCTACGTTGAGTAGCATCCTTTCTGTGAAAAGTGGCCTGACAGGAGCAGATGTTAGCGCAAACTGCCGCCGCTGTCGAAGAGGAGTGTTCGTTTGCACGGATGCGTCCTTTTCTGGCATCTAAACTCACTGTTCGGGATCATGTCGCTGACGCAGCCACGCTTGGAATCAATCTAGCTCATGCCATCTACGGTTGCTGGAGTTGTGATGCCTTCGGGTGGCTTGGGAAACAATTTGTTGAGCTGCAGCTTTGGTGAATCTCGTGATTAAGATCTGATCCGGGTTGCGCTTTTTACTCAAATTCGCAGAGGTGCGGTTGGTGTGCGGTTGCATGGCAGGACTGCAGCTTGCAGCCCGGCAGGCTGGACAAGACATGCTATTGCTA